CTTACCTTCAGGGTTTGGCCACAGCCATATTTCAACAGGATAATGCGTGATCACACGTGGCACGCACTATCCAAAGGTTCTTCGTCAATCACCAGATTGAATTGCTTCCCTGGCCGGATCGCTCTCAGAATCTTTCGCCGATAGAAAACATGTGTTCCACGGTTGCTCAACGATTGACCCAGATTACACCCACAGCTGCCACACCAGATCAACTTTGGCAACGTGTGGAAGCTGCTTGGTCTGCTGTACCCCAAGAACACATCCAAAGTCTCTTTGAATCAATGCCGAGGCGTGTGGCAGCGGTGATCTCGAATAATGGCGGCTACTCTGGCTACTGATTCTTGCAGGAACCACATTTCACAGAAGTCTATAAATTTAATCATTTGATACTTGGTCAACATGTAATCTACAAAATAAATTTTGTTGTGCTACCTCTTGTCTTTCTTGGTGTTACATTTACGGTCGCCCACAGTGTATTTATGAACTCATGGAAGGAAATTTGTGAGAAAAATGATAGTAAAATGCAATATTTCCTTGTGTCTATTTTCCTTCAAAATAGCTTTTATAATCTATATTTAATTACTATTACGCATATTTCCCATATTTCAAAATTCTTTTAATTTTTTGCACATACACATATTATTCTTATGATGCTCTAGAATGAGAAATTCCCATGGCTCAAAAAGGCCACATTATGAAAGCGAAGAATATACCGCAACTTCGTCCCTCTTTAAAAGGATTGCATTCATTTGTTGACTTTGCATCGTGGAAAAGATATAATTGTACCGTAAAAGTCAATAAATGTAAATTAAATAAAGTAGTGTCACTCTTTTATCCGATGGGCTCCATTCATGACGGTCACATGATAAAGACAAACGCGTTTTCTCCATTGAATTAAAAACAGACATCAAACTAATTGTACTTGTTGTTCTATTTGTACAACTTGGGTAAAATTTCAAATTTTATAATTGTGTAAAAAAGTTCAAATGTTTATAAAAAATAAATTTCTTCAAAAGATTTAAAATTTTTTTTAAAAAATCTAATTTTATGCATGTACTCTTAAATAAAATGTATTTTGTCTACCTGCGTGTATTATTGTTGATGACACATTTGAATTTTTTAAGAAAAAGTTTCTGAAAAGATCAAAAAAGTTGACAACAACAAAGCGCATGAATTGATTAGCAGGAAACACACGATTGCTTTTATCGTGTACCTATGACTTCGCACGAGATTTTGAATTGATTGACGAAACACACGTGTTGTCATTATCATGTGACTATGACATCATATGAAATTTTGAACTGATTGGCTAAAAACACGTGTTATCATTATCATGTGACTATGACATCATATGAAATTTTGAACTGATTGGCTAAAAACACGTGTTATCATTATCATGTGACTATGACATCACATGAATTGAGCCCATTTATCAATTGTCCTAATTTCATATCTATAACTGTAAGCACATTTAATTTTAGAATAAGTTTAACGATACAAATGTACCCTAAGCAAAGTTTTTTTTTTTTAAAATCTGGAATGAAATTGCTTGTTAAAATTCTCATCAGACCCTGCAAGTCAATGTCAACCAACGTGCACCTATCTTTACTCTTGATCTTCATGCAAAAAAAAAAGCTGTGTTCACAAATATAAGTTGAACCAAATATAAAGAGCATTTTATGTCTGCATTTTGTCTGTCTTGAATGGCCACAAAAAAAACTCTTTGCTGATTGCTATTTACCCAGTGGCGTAGCGTGGGGGGTGCCGAGGGGGCCATGGCCCCGGGTGGCATACGAAAAGGGGCGGCGGCAAGCACCACGATATTTAAATTCAAAAAATATTTCAAACTTCAAATCGTGCCCTCGTGACGAAACTGACGGAAACGAATGAAAGCTTTAATACACGCGCAGATGCAGGAAGTTTATTAGTTGCTATGTCATCGCATTCATTTTTATGTTACTTAGGGTTCTGGCAACCGGTCTTGTGTGAAGTCAATGATGCTCAAAATTATTTGCAAAAAACGGGACTAAATATCAATCAACGTGCTTCACAGACCGCATTAGAAGCAAAACATGAGGAATTCGTAGATGACGCTTTAATATATGCTAAAAGTTTATGTGAAGAGCTTGAAACTTCCTTTGAACCCCCAAGAAAAATCAGGAGGAAGCATATATTTGGTAACGGAAGTAAAGATGTTGAATTATCGTACGAAGATGACTTGAGGCGAACAATGGTTTCTTCAATAGACAGAATAACTGCTGAAATTCAAGAAAGATTCAAACAGTTGCAGAATCTAGGGCAAAAATATGCTTTTTTAAGACTTGAAGTGATACTGAGCATGGACGAACTTAACTTAGATCAAGCTTTTCACACAAGACATTAATAAAGAAGAATTCCAAATTGAGCGCGTACGTCTACAAGCTTTCGTAGATGCAACAGACCCAGGTTGTAAAAAAAGAACTCATTTTATAGGTCTGGCTTTCTGGGTATATTAAAATATATTATTGAGTCTAAACTTGGAGAGGGCTTACTAAACGTCACAATTTTGAGAACTTTGTTACGTCTGCCATCAGTAATGCCGCTTGCGAGAGAAGCTTCTCTAAGTTAAAATTAATAAAAAATCATCTCAGATCGACTATGTCCACGTTAAAGCTAACAAATTTAGCTATTCTGGCAATTGAACGTGACATATATACTGAAATTGACAATTGTAGAAAAAGATTTTGATATGATAAAACAGAAAAAGTGCATTTCTCTCTAATCGATAAAAATATTTAAAGCTGCTTTTTTTTCACTTTTACTAATTTTCTCGACTAATAATTAAAATATAGGGGCGACAAATTTTTGGTCGGTCCCGGTCGGTGAAAGCCCACGCTACGCCACTGTATTTCCCTATCTCTTTACTATGGGGTCTTATATAATAAGTTTAATTCCGAACATCCAAACTCATTGCATCCTCATCACCTTTTTCACTCTTATTTAATGCAATCATAACGTTTATTCTCGGAATCCATGTTATCTAAAGGAAAAAATAGGCCATGTTAATCCACGTATGTTCAAGAACTCAATTCAAAAAGTTTATATATTAATTTAAAACTGAATTCCAAATGCAGCGAGATACGCTTAACACGAAAAAGCTCAAGATGAAATATCGGTTAACAAGAAATAATATAACGGTTCTTACAAACTACTGCGCATTTTCATGCATATTTTCTCTTAACACGAAGCGAAAATCGCATAACACGAAAACATATTTCTTCTGGGAATGAACCCAACACGGAAAACACCGGCAGGATTGCGCTGTCCTTTATCATCGGAAGAATTCGTTACAGTAATTGATGATACTGTACGGACAGTCTCCAATTGTGACAGACAAAGACATTTTAGAATTTGTTCAAAGCCCAGAAAATATCGATGCAGATTAAGACGACGAAAATGAAATGAATGATGCAGCTTTTGGTCCTACGTCATCCGAAATGAGGAACATCATGAAAAGTATACGCAGTTATTTAGACACGCATTCTAATGGTAAAATGAATAACAAAATGGACGGCGTTGAACAATTTGTTGACAATTTGATGCTAAAAAAGACAATGCATTAGATTATTTTTTTAAAACTCAATGCATTTTTTTTTTTTGATTTTCAAAAAACTTAGAAATTTTGTATTAAATTTCTTATTAATATTTTTGTTTCATCATTTTTTTATTAAATACATGCATATATAACTATCTATGTAAATAAAATAAGCTGTAATAGACTTAATTTTGTTGATACATTTTTTTTTTTTGCAATATCCTTTAACATCAAATTCTTTTAACACGAAAAACATTTCAGTCCCCCTCAGTTTCGTGTTCAGCGATTTTTACTGTATCAGTGAGAAAATGAAGAGTAGAAATATGTCCTTGTCTTCGTTTAAGCATATCATTTGGAAATCATGACCTCAAAACACTTTTCAATGTCAAAATAGTTACATGTATCTTCTTTTGAGACTGCCTTAAATATTGTGATAAGACGAACTTATCTTGCAATTCGTGTGATTATTCATGCTTTATAGATTTATCAACTACAACCTTTGTACTTGATATAAAAAGAGTAACGGATTTCTCATAAATTTGTTAAAACGGTTGAGGTGTTGCTTGTTTTAAATTGTTACTATTAGTTCATTCTTCCTGTCCTCTCTCTCTCTCTCTCTATATATATATACAGTCAAACCTCTACATAACGAACCTCTATTTTGAGAATTTTTCTACGTAGCACTCTTTTTCCAAGAACCTTGAACATTGCACGATTTTCTTCGTAAAATAACCTTTCTATAGCGAAGTGCACTTGCTATATAACGAACTTTTTCTTTTGTGATTCAATTTTTTTTTCTCCCTATTTTTAAAGTATTTCTGAACATTTCAAGTTATTCTCTCTCAACACATTTTATCGTGACCATAAATCTTGAACTGGCTTTATTAGATCCTAATTCGCCGAGAGCAATCGAGTTCTGGACGTTTCATCCAAGAAGTGCGACCCTTAACCCCCATTGTTGATGTTCACTAGATGTATTATAGAAACATCTTCTATATCCCCTTTCAGCCCCAGTGAAGTTGTCCCCGTGTTCTAGTTTTTCTTGTTTTCCTTGCGGTTCTACTTTTCTTTTTTTTTAATGGGTAAGATTTATAAAATAAACATATATTAATTTTAAAAAAGGTGTGAATAATTTCTTTTTTTAATACATAGAGCTTATCAATTTAAAATTTGTTTTACGTAGTTTATAAAGTATATTAAAAGATGAACTTCTATATAACGAATTTTCCATATAACGAACTTTTTTCCGGGATTTAGCGACTTCCTTATATAGATGTCCGACTGCTTGTTCAAATAAGTTTTTTTACACTTGATGCTATATAATACAGTTTTTCAAATATTGATTCAACTTTTAAATTAAAAAATGAACAAACAGTAACAAAATAATAGTCCAACAGCATATATAGAAAGGAAAATTGTTCGTTGTGTCCCTGTAGCGTGATAGATAGCGTGTTGGACTTAGAATCCAAAGGTCGTGGGTTCGAATCCCATCTGGGATGGTCTAATTTCTGAGAATGTGGGATTTCCTTTTTACTATACTACTTATTAGAATAATTAAATTTAACTAATGAATAAATGGTAACAAACAAACAAATAAAATAGTCCATCACCATACAGAAAACAGACGCGCAGGCGAGATTTAAATGGGTGGGGGGTGAAATAAAAGAGAGGTGGCTTCACATGTTTCGTAGAATGGAGGCTAACTTGGCTTTGAAATACCCTCGAAATAGCGTGTGGCAAGCCACTTTTGTTTATCTAATCTACTTTCACCCTCCACCCCAACAAACGCCATACAAAAACATCTCGTCTCTCATCAGTTGGCTTTGGAATTCGGGGACGCACTGCGAGTAAAAATCAGTGAGCTTGGTTCGTTTTTTTCCCCTGCTATTTTAGAAGAATTTTCGTATGAGAAAAATTTCAAAGAGCTCAGAGGGAAAGAAAACTACTATTTCGCTTAAAATGAAGATGGAGTTTCTTAAGGCCGTTAATCAGGAACAAAAGACGAAAATGGAAATCTATTATGATTTTCGTCCTACTAACTCTACTGTATCAACAATAATTAAAAAAAGAGAGTAAATTATATAAATGTTTGTGAATAGTTTTTATTAAATACATGCACATATACTTATCTATGTTAATTAAAAAAATCTAATAAACGTAATTGTGTTGATATACATATATATTGCAATATCCTTTGACACGAAATTCTTAAAACACGAAAAAATATTTCAGTCCTTTGAGTTTCGTGTTAAGCGATTTTCATTGCATTTTGAAATTTCCAGAAGAAATTAAACTTAATCTTATACCGATCTCTGATTAGATGCTCAAAAATGCAAGGTTAAAGAGGATGTACTTGTTTTCAACGAAGCATATCTCTTTAAACTTGTAACCTTATAATTTTCAATGTCAGCATGGTTATCAAGTATCTGTTTGCGACCTTAGCCTTGGCATCGCTACAAAGTTATTTGGAACCACGGCGATAGCTACTTTTCTTTGAGTTTATGCGGCTGAACATTCAGATACAGTAACGGATATCTGATAAGACTTTCGAAAAAATAATAAAAAATAAGGCAATCTTTTTTATAACGGGTTTTTTTAATCATTTATCGGAAGATGTTAACAAAGACATCAATTGTGCAGTAGTTTATCTCATCATAATAGCAGGGGGATACATGAGGTTTTTTAAAATCCGGAAGGATTTATAAAATACAAAAATCGGTACTTTTCCGTTTCACCGGCGTAAATCTTGCCAAGCAGGCTTATCTGACGACACAACCAGTGGCGTAGTTACCAATGGGCTTGGCGATGCTGTGATACGGGGCCCTCAATCTCAGGGGGAGGGGGGCATAGGACCTTGATCCCCAAGGAAGTAGAATTTGTGAAAATTTCTCCCAAATTTTAGATATAAATATAAAAGATTGCAACATAACTACAATCATCGCAATTGTGATGAAAGTAATTTCGAACTTTCGAACTTCTCTTAAATTCTTTCCATGGTTTGTTAAGGGTTGCGAACTTTCCTTATTGAAATGTTTATACTATTTTCAATTTTTTCATTTTTCTGTAAACCATGCTCGGGATACACCACCCGTTGCTACACCAGATCTACTTTGACAATATGTGGAAGCCGCAAGATGCATCGAAAGCCTCTTTAATTCTATGCCAAGGCGTGTGGCAGTGGTTATAGCCAACAATGGCGGCTACACTAACTACTAATTTTGTTATCATCTACACGTCAAAAGAGGTTGTAATTTTAATCGTTTGATCTTCGTACAACATGTTATCTGCCAAATTAATTTCCCTATGATATCTCTGGTTTTTCTTGGTGCTGCATTTTGTGTGGCTGGCAGGGTAAATCTGTTAAATAGGTAAAATCTCTCGTTTCTATTTGATTAATTATTTTTTTAATTAAAGTCACGATCTGGTTTGATGCGAGCCACTGTCGTAGACCCCAATTTACATCTCATGGACCCTCAAATTAATTTTTTCACTGACGTGAACCCCTTGTAGGTCATCATAAACCTCTGTGGGTCCATATAGACCACTTTTGGAATCACTAAATTAAAGATTAATGCTTACAAATCGAATAAGATGTTAATCATTTAAGGCTGTTTTCGTCATTTGTACGACAGTGTGGACTTAACGCGGAGCACATTTTTCAACAGAAAAAAATGCCTCAATTTTTATAAAAAATTGTGACATCATAACTCATGCATTTAGTAATAATATAGTATTTTTAAAAATTCACACAACAGGTAAAGGGAGAGCTCATTTAGCATTACGGTATAGGAAAAAATGCTAAACACATTTTATAAAAAAAGATGTATCAACTCGGATAAAAATAAGTAGCATAATAAAATAAGTGATTTCTCTACAGGATAGTGATGCCAGAATATAATATTACTGTTTGAGTACTTTTGTGTATCTGAAAAAATGTTAAGAATTTTGGTACTATTCTTTAACATTAGCCGAAGACAGCCATAAAATAATTTTTGAACTAGTAATAGTATTTATACAGGATAGTTCAGGAACAAAACATAACGAAATAAATGTAATCTCGATCACACACACATGAAGCAATACGTTATAAAATTAAGAATATGGGACAAAAAATATTTCTTAATAACTCTATTTCTATGTAATTCAGTAATTCCTTAGACTTGATGTCATAATTTAACATGAAAGCAGAGTAGTACATTCAGGGTCATTCGTAAACATCTAAATGTTCAACAAGACTATAATTTGAGGTTGCTATTATACTATATCAAAGGTCATTCTACTATGCACGCGCGTTTTGTCAAACACATTAGCTCTAAAAGTAGTTATTGAGTCTCAATTGCTAGACAAATATATTAATGTAATTGCTCATTATTACACATGTGAAAAGATCTCTATTGCATATTGTCATTATAACTATATTTCGTATTAAACATATGATTAACACGGCACAATAATTTCATGTTTTTTGAATAATTCATATATTTTATTATTTAATTATATATATATATATATATATATCATGATACAAGCATAAATCTCTCATTTTCAGAGGGATTTGTATCATCTCGTTAAGGTTACGATTAACTTAATAGAGAATATTGATTTCCATTTCAACAGGTTTCGATTTTACTTATAGATGAACATCCCAGGTAATGTACACAAATCTAAGCAATGTATAAATTGGTTTATTAATATATGTTGAGGGTATAAATAATCATACAGTAAAGTTGAATTTTTCTTTCTGATGAAAAGAATTTCGTAGCCTGTGATTGCTGATTGCTTCTTTTTACGGCTTATAAATATTTATGTTTTAATGCACTACAATTTTTCAATCTATATGCCAAGTATTTTTTTATGTATATATATATTTGTCACGCGAATATAAAATAGCATTCAAATTTTTAAAGGTCATACTGAGTGACGTGAATTTAGAATTTAATGACACTAGAGTAGAGAGAGAGAGAGAGATTTCGGCTAAACTTGCGTGTGTGTGAGCCACACATTTATTTATTTATGTACAGTTAATATGTTTTATACTGTGGTCTAGACTGGAAAAGAAAAAGTGAAAATGTATGACAAGAAGAGGATCGAAAATAGAGAAGGATCACTAGGGTACCCCGGGGTCGTGACTGAGTGAATATTAACGTCGCACTGTTCAGCTACACGAGGGCTTTTGGAGACGGACCACGCAATTTTGAACCATGGTCAAGTGACGCGGACGACACCTGAGCTGGCACCCCCCTCTCCTGACTACCACACCACACCAACGGGAGGATGTTTCAGTTCTCAATAGATTTAGCGTGCATCGCTGCCGGGGTCGTGACACCTGCTGTGAAAGGAAGAAGAGTGTGTGCGGAGGACTGAACGACCAGATGACGGACGAGTGCCTGGTGTTTCTGTTCTCGCCTGTGGCAACAGGGGGAGGGGAAACGCTCCAAAAAGGGAAAGAGAATTTCTCTAGATGCGTTTGGAGGGATCAGACGGCTATGAGCGTGCGCGATAACACATAACATTAATAAATAGCTTAATAAATGTTTTATTTAATTGAGAAACACTCGTCGCCACATCATTTATTTAGCGCTCAGTTTATTGTTTTGTAAATGAGTAGTGAATTGAGATAGGACAACACCCGTGTTTACCAAAGATAGTAAACCCATTGGGAAAAGATCACTAGGGCACCTCGGAATTGCGACATACGTACTCATCTAAAGATGAGCCCCCTGAGGGGTTGGAGGTCAAAGATGTCAATGAGTATTGTTATACATCACTGAAGAATTAAACTCATATACATAACACAGATTTTATTTTCAAAGACATATTTCAAGATTTTCATCCACCATAAAACTTCTTTTTACGACTGTAAAAATTTAAATCCAATTAAATATCATAATTAGTTTACGTTACTTGCTGTCATTATTCCGTATTGAAATGCTGAATTATAAAAGCTAATAAAAATCAGAAGAAAAAAATTTAAGAAACATTAAACCTACCGAAAATGAATACATTACAAATCTTCTGATCATTTTTTGAAAAAAATATTTTTTCTAGACTTTCCTCTTAATATCATCATTATTTAAAATATCGAAAATGTTAAACAAAACCCGAATATTTCATAAGACAATCATAATCGATAATATCAAACACTGGATTACCTTTTCAATATACACACATGTCCATAAATTAAGGATAATTCAGAATCACACAGAAATTGAACTCTAAAATAAAAATTTCACCTGCAGAATTATCACACACATTTTGAAGAAGAATATGCAAATTACAGGAAACCACCAGATGGCGCGGATAGTACGTCACAATGACGAGAGTGTTGATTGATTGATTGATTGAATATTAACGTCGCACTGTTCAGCTACACGAGGGCTTTTGGCGACGGACCACGTAATTTTGAACCATGGTCAAGTGACGTGGACGACACCTGAGCTGGCACCCCCTCTCCTAACTACCACACCACACCAACGGGAGGACGTTTCAGCTCTCGACA